TTACAAATACCCAGCGCTGAGAGGGATGTTTAAGTGCTCTATTGTATAATTTTAACAGTACCAAAAAAAAACCTTTCTTTGATCATTTTAATTTCATACATTGATATACATTTCAAAATCTGCGCGCGCATGCGCAAATGTACATTTGTTATTTGTGGACTAATTCTTGTGAAATTTTAATGGTATTTACTTCTTAGAAAAGCAAATGGAACATCCATGTCAAATATTGCTTGCTGGATTATGTACTTCAGTCAATAAAAGGCGAAGCGATACATGAGAAGTCAATACAATAAGAGGAAACTCAACACATGCTACCGTGCCGAAACGTTGAGCTTTGAAACGTCTTTTTCGTTACTTTTCAATGTTGGTTTCATGTTCACAGATCCACAAAAACGGTTCCACCGTTTAGGTAACAGCTAGCTAGGGATAAACATTTTGGAAATCCGAAAGTGCAGACCGAGGTGCAGACCTAACAACTTTACTAGATCCACTTTTTTAGCGCATTTTCACATATTAAAAAAAAATCGCTACTGTTTGCTTTTTGGTGGTCCGCAACCACTTCTGCCTTTTTTTAAATTTTTTGCAATAGGTACCTTATACCTTGAAGATGTGCCAGGCAGCCTTCAGTGAGTATGCATTATTTCCTGAGACACTGTTTCTGAATACAAAAGGGACATAACTTATAGTAGGTATACCTTTGTGCGTGGGAAAATTTTGAGAACCATGGGAATTTCGGCAGTTGGCCTGGGGTGCTTCAGCAGTTGGCCCAAGGACATATGTGAGACCGTGGTAACTTTTTGATATATATCACCAGTAGATTAGAGATCGTGCGCCAAGTTCAAGTTCATTCAATTCAGTTCTGTTTGTCGACAGAAACAGGTCGATTAAACGAATTGGATTCTTTTAAACGTACCTATTTCTACTGCATCAAGCTGATTCAGTAGAGATCTGATTTTAATAAGCAAACCTACTTCCGAAAAACAGCTCTGAATCAAATGACCTTTAAACTTGGCGCATGATCTCAAGGTCAAGGTGGCCCCATATCATACTATCTTTATTTGCAATGACCAATTTGTGTCCAATCTTGCATACACATGCCTTCAGTGATGCAAAGCGAATTTTTTAAATTGAGGATGAAAGGGGGATTAAACACAGGTTCTATCTTTCGTGGGATTCTAATGAAGATTTACACCAACTGCCACGGGAATCACCGCCACTGATGTTGCACCAGCGATATAAACTTTGACACATCGTAAATTGGATTATTGCTCAGTAGACATCATCCCCTCCAAAAAATGTGTTGAATGAATAAATTATTACATAGCACTGGTGTGACATAC